AAACCTGCTTTGTGAGATAAAAAAGAATTAGCAAACAAAGTTTTCAATGCATAAATTTTTATGGAAACTTCTCTTGAAACCCTGTACTTCTTATTCGTGTGTAATTTCAGGTCATCTTTAAGATGGATGTCAATGGCCATGGCTTAGCAGTGGATTTGGCTGATCTTTCCAAGCTAACAAAACTCAAACTACATCAATTCACCCAAGAGAAGTTCCGCCACATGTGCATCCTGTCCGGCTGTGATTATCTGCCATCTGTCAAGGGCATTGGTCTACAGACAGCAATTAAGCTACTGCGGAAGTCATCCAATGTTGATAAGGTTAGTTTTTATTTCCAAATTTCATCAATCTCTAAAGATCTCCTTGATATACCATATGTAATTGATGAAGCAGCCTGTGCCTCTATAACATTAAATTTATGGACTAGGGAAGTAGATGTTTATTTGAGATAGGGGCTTATTTGAGGTGTGGTGCTTATTCAAGATTGGGCACAAATTAAATGTTCTCCACTTTCAGCAATTAGTAAGTTTATATTGCAACAAAACGATAACTGATAGCAAAACATGAAAATCTATGCCATAGTTGAAGTGAATTTAGAGATTGCAAGCCAGTAAAGAAATGATAATTAATACTCCTTTTGTGAACTTCAAAGTTTTTGGGGGGTAGGGGGTGGGCACTTGTTTAAGGCAGGTGGTTTGTTAACTTTCCCATTTACAGGATGGGCACTTTGTCAGGCTAGGCATTTATTCCAGGTTGGGCACTTAATCAAATAAATATGCTGGTTTTCTTTGAAACTGTTTTCTCCTTTAATAAATAAATGAATAACTCTCTGTTCAGCTGATCAGATCTCTCAGAACTGAAACAAAGATGCATGTCCCTGACGATTATGAGAAGAACTTCAAGCAGGCAGAGGAGACGTTCTTGTACCAGCTTGTTTTTGATCCTGTATCTATGAACCTGGTTCCTTTGAGTGACCTGCCAGAAGGATTACAAGCCGGGGACCTAGTGTTTGCTGGTCCGTATCCTTTAGAAAGGCTGATAGTTTCTAAAGAAACTGTTAGGGGCTGCGTCGATGGGGGTAACGAAATAATTTGGATATATCAACAAAGTTGAAATGGTAAATTGGCCACCGTAACGATTACAAAAGCTGACGTTTCGAGCGTTAGCCCTTCGTCGGAGCGAATAGAGGAATTGTGGGTTGTGTGTGCATTTTAAAGGAAGAAAATGGAGCTACGTTATTGGTGAGAACATGGCAACGAGAAAAACACTAATAAATTAATGGAATGAAAAGCGTTCGTTGATCCCTGTGGGATTTAGACTGCCGGTTTGAAAGATGAGCATTTGTTCAAGAGTTTTACGGCTTTCCGTGCTGCCTAAGTGTAAGGAAAGACCGCAGATTGCCATATGTTGCTTAGAATGGTTAGGTAAATTTAAAGTGTCTAGCGACTGGTTTCGATCTGTCCTTGTCATTTTTTTCCACGTCGCAAAGGTGTTCTCTGAATCGGTCGCCTAGTCTTCTGCCTGTTTCGCCGATGTATATCTTTTTGCAATAAGTGCAAGTTATGCAATAGATTACATTGGCGGAGGTGCACGTGAAGTGATCGGTGATCTTAATGGATCGTTTGGGTCCCGATATTTTATCAGTATTGTGAATGAAAGGACACGTTTTGCATCGTACACGAGTGCATTTAAAAGTGCCTGGTTGGTCATCAGTCTGGAAAGAACTTCTGACCAAAAAATGTCCTATGTTGTTGTCGCGTTTGAATGAAATGAGCGGAGGCTCCGAAAAGATAGTGCTTGTCTCTGGATCGTTTTGAAGTAATTTAAAGTTTTTAAGAATGATGGATTTAACTGAGTGGTTGTGAGGGTGAAACGCGAGAGTGAATGGAATGCGGTCAGAATCTTCCTTTTGTGACGTTTGTAGTGCAGAATGTCGATCAATAAGTTGGGCGCGGTGGTAACCCGCTTGAACGACAGAAACAGGATAACCACGTTTATCGAAAAACTGGCACATTGACTCTGATTTGTGGTGGAAATCAGAGTCATCACTACATAAACGACGAAGTCTTAGAAACTGAGAAAAAGGAATGGAATTCTTAACGTGAGATGACTTCAAAACGATCCAGAGACAAGCACTTGTATATCCAAATTATTTCGTATCCTTTATAAACTGCTGTAATATTCTTCTCTTTTCCTTTTTTTCCCTTTCACCCTTTCATTGCCCAAGAGGTCCATCAACTTTTTTGTCTTTAAAAAGAACAAGGACAAAACTCAGCCATCTTGGCAAAGCAGAGTCAGTCAATTGAGCATGAGAATAAAGAAAATGATCACCAACTCAAGAAGCTCTCGATCATTAAATTCTCCTTGTCTGCCCTTTAGGAAATGTATGGAGAACACTATGGAGAATATGCACTACTTTTCTTTCAGACTTCGTCATTTTGCTCATGTTCTCTTGACTAAATGTCAGATTAATGACCAGGGAAAAAGCCTTGGGCATTGCATTAGGCAATATTAACCCCATCACGGGTGAAGTGATGGCAGATTTTGACCCCAAAAAGGTCAAGGTATGTTGCCAAAAACGTTTTTGGTATATTTTACTTGATGTGCGACACTTATGACTTATTAAAAATTATTAAGAATGAAAAGGTTTGCAGTCATGCAGATATTCAATATGAGGATGGCAAAGGTTAAGATACTGATTCTAAGATAACAATGAATACGAGGACAAGAAAGGATCAAAAAAGGCGTTCAACTCTTAATTTGCAACAACTCAGTGTACAGAGTATTTTTTTATGTCAAAATTTTCTACTTAATAACTTGAGTAATGTTAAGGGCAGTGTCACTGTAAAGGCATGCTGTTATTAAGCAGTTATTCGCTAACGCTGAGGTGAATAGTTACAGTATTTACATGGTCGACTTTCCTGAAACAATGTTGTGAAACATTAGGTGTTCATTTTTACCTTTCCTAGAACTTTCCTTGAACTTTCCTTATCTTTTTCCATTTTCTTTTGCTCTGAAGGTTGAATGATATACTTTTAATTCCGTCAAACTAAACTTTAAACAACAAACATATGAAATACATATATATGAACTGCGGTTATGAAACGTATATGTGCACGATCCTTCGCAGTAAAGCACTATTTAAGCAATAGTGAAAATCAGACCTGAAAAAAATTCAGGCCTGTACGGGATTCGAACCACTGACCTCTGCGATACTAGTGCAGCGCTCTACCAATTGAGCTAACAAGCCAACTGGGAGCAGGCCATCAAATTAATTCGACATAAACCCGTAGATGATAAATCAAACAACAAACATATGAAATACATATATATGAACTGCGGTTATGAAACGTATATGTGCACGATCCTTCGCAGTAAAGCACTATTTAAGCAATAGTGAAAATCAGACCTGAAAAAAATTCAGGCCTGTACGGGATTCGAACCACTGACCTCTGCGATACTAGTGCAGCGCTCTACCAATTGAGCTAACAAGCCAACTGGGAGCAGGCCATCAAATTAATTCGACATAAACCCGTAGATGATAAATCAAACAACAAACATATGAAATACATATATATGAACTGCGGTTATGAAACGTATATGTGCACGATCCTTCGCAGTAAAGCACTATTTAAGCAATAGTGAAAATCAGACCTGAAAAAAATTCAGGCCTGTACGGGATTCGAACCACTGACCTCTGCGATACTAGTGCAGCGCTCTACCAATTGAGCTAACAAGCCAACTGGGAGCAGGCCATCAAATTAATTCGACATAAACCCGTAGATGATAAATCAAACAACAAACATATGAAATACATATATATGAACTGCGGTTATGAAACGTATATGTGCACGATCCTTCGCAGTAAAGCACTATTTAAGCAATAGTGAAAATCAGACCTGAAAAAAATTCAGGCCTGCTTAAATAGTGCTCTACTGCGAAGGATCGTGCACATATACGTTTCATAACCGCAGTTCATATATATGTATTTCATATGTTTGTTGTTTGATTTATCATCTACGGGTTTATGTCGAATTAATTTGATGGCCTGCTCCCAGTTGGCTTGTTAGCTCAATTGGTAGAGCGCTGCACTAGTATCGCAGAGGTCAGTGGTTCGAATCCCGTACAGGCCTGAATTTTTTTCAGGTCTGATTTTCACTATTGCTTAAATAGTGCTTTACTGCGAAGGATCGTGCACATATACGTTTCATAACCGCAGTTCATATATATGTATTTCATATGTTTGTTGTTTGATTTATCATCTACGGGTTTATGTCGAATTAATTTGATGGCCTGCTCCCAGTTGGCTTGTTAGCTCAATTGGTAGAGCGCTGCACTAGTATCGCAGAGGTCAGTGGTTCGAATCCCGTACAGGCCTGAATTTTTTTCAGGTCTGATTTTCACTATTGCTTAAATAGTGCTTTACTGCGAAGGATCGTGCACATATACGTTTCATAACCGCAGTTCATATATATGTATTTCATATGTTTGTTGTTTGATTTATCATCTACGGGTTTATGTCGAATTAATTTGATGGCCTGCTCCCAGTTGGCTTGTTAGCTCAATTGGTAGAGCGCTGCACTAGTATCGCAGAGGTCAGTGGTTCGAATCCCGTACAGGCCTGAATTTTTTTCAGGTCTGATTTTCACTATTGCTTAAATAGTGCTTTACTGCGAAGGATCGTGCACATATACGTTTCATAACCGCAGTTCATATATATGTATTTCATATGTTTGTTGTTTGATTTATCATCTACGGGTTTATGTCGAATTAATTTGATGGCCTGCTCCCAGTTGGCTTGTTAGCTCAATTGGTAGAGCGCTGCACTAGTATCGCAGAGGTCAGTGGTTCGAATCCCGTACAGGCCTGAATTTTTTTCAGGTCTGATTTTCACTATTGCTTAAATAGTGCTTTACTGCGAAGGNACATATGTTTCATATGTTTGTTGTTGTTTGATTTATCATCTACGGGTTTACGTCGAATTAATTTGATGGCCTGCTCCCAGTTGGCTTGTTAGCTCAATTGGTAGAGCGCTGCACTAGTATCGCAGAGGTCAGTGGTTCGAATCCCGTACAGGCCTGAATTTTTTTCAGGTCTGATTTTCACTATTGCTTAAATAGTGCTTTACTGCGAAGGATCGTGCACATATACGTTTCATAACCGCAGTTCATATATATGTATTTCATATGTTTGTTGTTTGATTTATCATCTACGGGTTTATGTCGAATTAATTTGATGGCCTGCTCCCAGTTGGCTTGTTAGCTCAATTGGTAGAGCGCTGCACTAGTATCGCAGAGGTCAGTGGTTCGAATCCCGTACAGGCCTGAATTTTTTTCAGGTCTGATTTTCACTATTGCTTAAATAGTGCTTTACTGCGAAGGATCGTGCACATATACGTTTCATAACCGCAGTTCATATATATGTATTTCATATGTTTGTTGTTTGATTTATCATCTACGGGTTTATGTCGAATTAATTTGATGGCCTGCTCCCAGTTGGCTTGTTAGCTCAATTGGTAGAGCGCTGCACTAGTATCGCAGAGGTCAGTGGTTCGAATCCCGTACAGGCCTGAATTTTTTTCAGGTCTGATTTTCACTATTGCTTAAATAGTGCTTTAAACTAAACTTTGTTGCCAATTTTCGTAAAAACAGCTTAGTTTGTTGCAATAAGTTTCCTTAAGGTAACCTTAGCACAGCAAGAAGCTGTTTTGTTGCACAAAACTGAATAATCTAGGAGGGGGTAAGTTTCTAAAGAAACTGTGGTGCTGCGTCGGTGGGGGTAACAAGGTAATTTGGTAATATCAACTAAGTTGAAATTGTAAAGTGGCCACCGTAAAGAGTTTAAAAGCTGACGTTTCGAGCGTTAGCCCTTCGTCAGAGCGAATGACGAAGGGCTAACGCTCGAAACGTCAGCTTTTTAACTCGTTACAGTGGCCAATTTACAATTTCAACTTAGTTGATATTACCAAATTACCCTGAATAATCTAGAGGCAACCCTCTGCTAGCCAATCAGCGTATGCCAAAAGCACCATTGACTAATGTGGATTACTAGCAATAATTAGTGTCTTTAGTTTACGTGGTTGTGTTATTGTAATTGCTTTTGCTGTTACCCCATCCCTCACTTGCCCAAGGAAATCATGTTTGTCCCTTAGATTATTGACCCGGGATCTGGTAACAAATCGGACGAAGACTCTCAGTCACGTGCTCTCACCCCAGTCTCCACGTCCTCCTTTGGCCAGGCTGTCATTAGTAAAAGAGGGAAGACTGAATACGATGTGCAAAAAAGCCTCTCTGGGTTGATGCTCAATTCACAGTCATCGGCGAAAACCAAGAAACCTTTCGTGCCGCCAAGACATAAACGTAAGATTGAGGAAGAAAGTGTTGATGACGACTCGCTTCTCAATATGTACACTGTATTGAAACCCAAGCATGTCATTCCTCGTGCTCCAGTGAATTTCCAGCGTACAAAACCTGGTGCTCTGTCATGGAACAGGCCAAAAAAGTTCAAGAACCCTTTTAAAATCAGCGATCATCGGGTTGAGTCGCGAGATCAAGTTAAAGTTAGCAGGTATGCATATACATAGATTACTCTGTATGGAAAGATCATGTTCACTGCTTTGTCACCATCAGACTAAATAAAAGGGACTGCTCTTAGTCTTTGTCACTGTTGTAATACCCATTTACTTTCTCTGATTAATTTAAGATTTACTGAAGTATATTTATTTTTCTTGAGGTACTTTAATGTCACTGGAAATCAACTGGAATCACCGAGGGATTCACCGGACACAATGGAGGACAGTCCGGCTGGTGAAACGAATTTTGATTCCGAAAACAACGATGAGTTATCGTCAACAGGTGAATCACAACCTGGAGGTGGTCTTACCGTTTTGAAACAGAACATGGATGAACACTTATTTCAGTGTGAAAGAGAGAATTTTGTGCAGACTGAAGATATGGAACAGAACAAGGAGAATCAGTCAACAACAGAGGTCGATCTATCTCCTAAGCTATACAAGATTGAATATTGCAAAAGGGAAAGCAAGGAGGAAACTACTTTTCACGACAGCAACTCTTCGCAAACGCGTTCTCCTGAAAAGCTACTATGCCAGAGCGTGTTAACGAACCACTCTTTAAATATAAGTTACAATCGCAACGATGAATCTGTAGAGACAAAATTAACGGAACGTTTTAGCTACAAACGACTTCAAAGGCCAACAAAACTTATTGACAACACATTAGAACCCTTATCGAGAGAGGAAACTGTTTCTAATAATAGTGGCTTTTCACGATCAGTTGAGGTGATACGTATCGACAGTGGGTACATATCAGATACGGAGATGAGTACAGATGGTGACACACTCACCCCTACACAGTCAGTTATCACGGACCAAACTACACCCTCCACAGGCAGAAATTTTTCGCTTTTACAAGGGAGTGCTGTTGGATCCAAGGTAAGATAGGAGGGTATACTCCGCCAGTCCTTTCAAAGTCACGATAGCAGACATGTTTCAGGCGTTTACTATTTTGATCACTTGTAATGAACTGGCTTTTTTTTACTTATAGTATTGAGAATCCGGTGTTCGATTAACCCTCATGTTCGTGTTTGCTATCCATTGAATTTTGAAGTTAAATTTTTTTCTTTTGATTGGCTGAGAGGTACGCGTGAATGTTTTTTTATTTTTTACCGAGCACTGAGGAAGGAAAGCAAGGTCAGTTTGTTTGTGCTTGGCTAAGAGGGAGGCAGGCATTTTTTTCACCAATCACAGCGGGAGAAAAGAAAGATCAATACGATCACGAATTGTTTTTTCGAATCTCCAATGAAGATCACTTTAAATGCTCAGGTGTTTATTATATTTCTCTTACTTTATTTTTGCAATAGACAACGAAGAAGCAGATTCGGCTGAACTCTAAAGCAGGTAATGCCATTTTACTTCCAGTTCAATGAACTACGATTATCAGATAAGTGTGGTGCGGAAAAAATTTTGACCATAATCAAACGGTGTTGTTGCAGGCGACCATCTTCGTAAGCGAATAACAAGGGCCGTGCGTCGCTAGCCGTCAAAAGTGAAAGCCCGCCAAAAGAGGTAGAAAGACACGTTTCCACAAGAAACAGAGCCATGTGTTCGTGTCAAAAAAACACGATTCTAACGTCAGAACGTTGTCGCCAAGTTTCCGTTGTGCCTCACACAACTAAAAATCTTAGTTATATCACCGGCTTGTTACACAAACGGTCGAAGGTTACGCTTTTTCAGCACTCGCAGACGATTTTTGGACTTAGGGACACGTCGATTAATATAGGTTTACTCGTTGAACTCCGGAACTGAGGCCCATATTGGATTCAAGGCTGAGTCTCTATCCTGGTCTCCCAGGAATGTAAATGATTGATCAGAAAACTGTCATGAAAACATGACGAAGAGCCAGGAGTTTACTTACTTGGAAATCAGGATGCCGTAGTACTGCCTTAGCTGCTACGTAAACCAGGATAAGTTTTACTGATCGTTGGCGACTTTGGTGGCAAATGCTGGTTACCTTTCCGAGTTGTATCCCTTATAGCAGACATTCTTATAAATCAGTTTACATGTATTTCTTCGTGTGATTCGATTAGTCTGCCTGATTTTGAGGCCCTTTGCAGGGAAAGATTCTTTGGTACAGAGACGCCGTACTGATAAGCAAATTGCATACCGAGACGTCCAAAGGAAACTATTTGAATCAAGTTGCTTTGTTTTGGATGGCGAAGACGCAAATTTGATCTCCATCCACTATTTTTTCCTTTCTTTTTTTCGGTCCTTAGATCACTAGTTATAAAGGGCTGACTATTGAAGAAGTTCACTTTTTCATATTCTTTCTTCTAGGGCTCAGAAGCACTGGTCTCGGTAGATGCCGCTCAATAGGAATAACAAGAAAGAAAACGAAATCTAAAGATTCATTAAACTCTTCTGGAACGTCGTCTTTGTTGAGTTATTTTGAGTTCGACAGGCGAAAGAAACCAAGGTAACTAGCTGCATAGTGTTGGGTATTTTTTTCTGTACACTTCTTGAAACTCATCAGACTTTTAGAATATGTCATCACGACATGTTTACAGTAGAGCAGAATCGTTTGGAAAATTTCTTTTCCGTTGGAAAAAGAGATTGTCGCTACGGATTGACTTCTCTCGAAAGTTCCTGCTCCGAGTCTATTTTGTTGGTAGAATACGCAACCCTGTTTTAAAGCCAGTCTCCAATCTTCATATCATTCCTGCTTTCGGATGCGGTATCTTATATCTCCTCATAGTATCACTATTGAGTCAAATATTAAGGATAGGAGAATAAGAGAAATGGTGACTTGTTTGTGGATTTGTGGAGAGAATAATATGGAGAATGTGCATACCGGTCTTAGGGTGTAAAGGATTAATATGATTATCACTCAGATATTTGTTCAAAGGAAATGATATGATAATGATAAAACCTAATTAACGTCTAATCTTGGTCCATGAAAACGCAAAAAAAAAAAAAAAACAAATAAGCAAAAGGTCAAAAAAAGAACTCGGTCAATATCCGGCAATCTTGACCTCACGCTTGGTCAATAACGCATAAATATCTAGGGAATCTCTGACCTCATCTGCTTAGTAGGGACCTTAATTAAGCAGTCAGGACAGCAATGCCAGGGAAAACGGCGATTCATAAATAAATTTCTCAGACGACCCAAATTTTGGCGACTTCACATTATTAACATTGTTTTGCAGAGGACGTCTTAGAGATGTACATAGTTTTAAAACACATGTGCTAAGCTATTGTTTTGCTCATTGGATCTTTCTCTTTGCCACGGCCTCGTTGCCGTCGCCGTCTTTGTTTGCGTACTTAATCTTCATTGTCTTTCGTGGAAATTAGGCAAAGAATCTCTTCATGCCATTTCGTCTGTTTAAATTCTCGCTTCCTTTTTTTCCTCCAGATTCAGTTATGACAGCTGAGATGCGGGCGTGATGTAGTTGTAACCAAATGCACGCACGGTTTCCTGGTATAGGGCTTCATATCAATCGAAGATGATGTGGAATGCTGTCATAACACTTGTCAAGATGTCAAGAGAAATTCTGGAATTTCCTGGTCAATGTCTCTTTCTTGTTTTGGCCCTTAACTTCGGACACAGACCTCTTCATCATAAAATTAAATGTAAACAATCTCGCCCACTCCGTTTCGTTCAAATGAGTTTCTGTATGTTCAAAGTATTAACAAATCGGTTTAACATCTAAGACCCGACAAATTCCGTGAAATGCTTCCATGATAAAATTTTTTGGAGTAATTCACAGAAGACAATTAAAGCTTTCTCCATGTTAAAGTTTTTAGACCCACATTTAACCCTTTAAACCCTAAGTGACCGTCATAGAATCTGTCTTTACAGTTTAATACTGCTTATATCTTTGATCATGTGAGAATAAAGGAAATGATCGCTATCCCAGGAAGCTTTGATTGTCAAACGCATTCTCGTTGTCGATAGCAGAGGAAATCTAAGGAGAAGACTATAGAGCCTCTATAATCATAGATACTGATGTTAACGTCTAAAAGGTTAATCAGTCACTAGAAGAATCATTTATAGAATGAAAAAGGTAAGTGCATGGTATATTCGGAAGCCATAGCGATATCTGCTGGTTGCGGAAATTTGAATCAAGGATCATTATTAAACATCCGAAAGAGAACAAACTTGGGAAGCAGAAAGACAGTTTATATTTGAAGGTGGCCGCTCAAGTTATTACACTTAATTTTTTTAATACTGAAATTTCCTTGGAATATTAATGAAAGCGGGATTTTGCCTATGAACTTTCCGAAGAGAGATGTTTCCGCTGCACATTTTCACTGCATTCACTTCAGTCTTAGGGCTTGTGTGACATATTAGACTGGTTATTGACCAACAACAGCAAAAAAACTTTGTTTTACTCCCAAAATCTTAAAGTTGTGGTAGCAATTTAGTTATAGGAGCACTCGATGGGCTTCCTTGAACGAGGGACCGTAGGTGGGGTTTTTCGTGAAACGTGATCGGCAGCTTTTACTTGCCGTGACTTGTTATTGTAAAAAGCTGTGAACAATATACCACTCCTGATACGTGAAACAGAGAAATTATTTTCCGTTATCCGTGATAACTGAAAAGAAAACGCAGTTTTTCCGTGAGAAATTACTAGTTGAAGACTTGCATCTACAAAGCAACGCAGTAACTCTCCGGTCGTTCTTAACGACCACCTTACTGTTAGATCTTGCATGGCAACTGATAAGGTGATGAATCAGTTTAGTTCTTTGATCTTCTCTTTACGAAAAGGCGCCATCGCCTGAAGAAAAACAATGGAACTGACGCTTGGCATGAAATTAGGAAGAAATTCAGGATGTTGAGGTTTTCATAAACACAAGATCTTTTTTCACCCTCATGAAGCGTGAAATGAGAATATTGATTACCGTGATTCGTTATTTGTTATATTAAATAGTCCTGAGTCGAGCGAAGGAGCCCCCTTACGGCCTCTCTTCAATAACCTTTAGAGCTAACAAAGTTGGGCCGCCTATGCATAGAAGATAATTTACATGTTCGGGTCAAATAGACTAAACATAGCTACACGCAAAACAAGATTAACAGATTTAAGTTTACTTCCTGTCTATTGATTTAGTTTATAACAGAATAAGGCCCTTTCGCGGAATATGCGTTTTATCCAAGAAGTCGTATTCCCTGTGAAGACAATCTTATATCTTCCTCAACTGGATTCTACGGTGATGACATTAAGATGAAATGAATATTTCATGAATAGTTGTACTTTCTTGTGGAATTTGATGTGCCTTTTGTGTAGCAAGACACCTAAAGAACGTAACTGACTTGGCTAAGGCCGGTATATTCTTATTTTTTATTCTTATTTTTAACATACATTGTCGATATTAATGTACATGTAATTAGTTTTATAAATTTGAATTTACTGTAGTATTCTAAGTTGTTAAGCGCTGTTGATCATTGAATGAAAATAGCGCTCTAGAAGTTATTAAATTAAATTAAGTTATATTCCAACTGACAAGGTCCTGAGCACTCTCTTCTCAATGGCAGTGCTACAACTCTACAGCTGGGATTTGCAACATGGGGATAGCCACTATAGTTATATCGACCTCACCCCACCCCGCTAAGCGGTGTTCTGGGCCTTCACCTCCCCCTGATGTGTCTCCTTACTTGTTCTTAGATCAGTTTTGTCAAACTTAACCCTTAAGACTGTTGTAAAGAGAAATTCCAGTTTTGTCAATTCTGAAAGTAAAAGGATTAACTTCTGGTGTAGGAGACGTGATGACTTTTACACCAAACTCCCGACCGAAAGGTCTCTCGGGAATTAAACCAGGGCCGCAATTTTAAAAGCCGCTTTCTTAAAGGCCGTTTACACGGCAGAATTATTGGGTACGGAAGTGTCAAAAAAGTAGTACAGACCGCATAATTTTAGCCGTTTACACGGATGATGTTTTATCATGGGTCGGACAAAAAGAGGCATAAGGACCAAGTTAGCAAGGTTGCGTTTACACTGCAGTTTTTTGGGGGACCGAACCAATTTCTTGCATGGGACTACAGTATTTGGTACAGCTGTGTGCTGTTATCGAACATGCGTAATTCTTGTAAACAATCCGTACCCCTTCCCCAAAACATGGTACGGATTGTTTACAAGGGCAAAAATGTGAGGTCCGTACTCCTTTTTTGACACGTCCGTACCCGATTTTTCTGCCGTGTAAACGGCCTTTTAATGTGCGCGCTAATCACGCTCAGGCTAATCCTCGTACAGTTACGTACAGTAAAAATACATTATGCAGTTGGCGGAGAATGCCCCTGAACTTGAATTCTATCCTGTCATTAGTCCATGTCACTACGGAGTCACATGAGATGCGCGCGCATGCTGCTGGTCAGTGCTCGCTTGCTGGTTTAGATCTTCAAACCATTTTCTTCTGCTTCGTAATCCAAGGAAAATATCCGCAATCCTGCGCTCCTTTGGAATCCTTTCTACAAAAATTCCAAGTTTAAGGTACGTGGAAGTCCATGATTGTTTGATTTTTCCACAGATTTGAGCGAGAACATCAGGATGGGCGATTCAAACAGTGCCGCTCCTGAAATGGATGAATCGCACGAGGACACCTCAAGAATCTCACAGAGCGCCAAGGAGGGCAGCCTTAACAAGGCTATTTTCTCAATTAACGAAAATATGGCTAAGATGGCGGCCATTTTTGAGAACATGTGTGACACTAAAGGGCCACCGGCCAAGAAACGAAAGGCTAGAGGTGAAGACAGCATGTCAGCCTCTGACCCAGAGTCAGAGGAGGAGGCTGGGCCCTCAACCTCTCATCACATGGATGATAATGTTAGCTTGTATGCTAGCGATGAATTGGAGGACGACGATGCCGTCAAAGGGCTCACCGAGAGTAATAAAAACCCTAAAAAGGTCACCGACCAAAAAAGTAGCAAAGGAAAGATGCTCAACTCATTGGCTGATGCCTATGACACTGAAGACGCCACCGGCGATGATCTGGATGAGGATGTGACAACTCTTGTCAAAAAGCGATGGGGTAAGAAATTAAATCCTGATAAAATCAAGACAATTGTTGAAAAACACAAACGTCCGGCAAATTGCCCAGAACTCAAACAGATAAAGGTCAATCGGGAGATATGGGCACAATTGAATGCCCGCCAGCGGAAAGCTGATTTGCAAATTGCCAATCTTCAGCAGCTTGTCAATAAGACAGCTATTATCAATTTACAAACCCTTCAGTGGATTACTGCAAATGCTGAAAATACACCAGAGCTTATAAATAATCTGGCCGATACCATTGTAATGTTGGGTCATGTATAGACCCAAATGTCCCAGTTAAGACGAGAACAAATTAAGCCTGCACTAAGCTACGAGTATATATTTAACAATTATTCCACGAGCGCGCGTTGGATATGAGATGATAGATAGCCAACGAGGCGCGTAGCGCCGAGTTGGCTATAATCATCTCATATCCAACAAGCGCGAGTGGAATAATTGTTTTATTAAAAAACGTTAAATTACATTATTAAATTTTACTAAAATTTTAGCTCCCTTTTAATTTTAAGCTGACACGTACGCTTGCCATATTTCTAGATTATGGTATATTGGCTGATATACCATAATAGCTAAGCCAATAAAAATTCTTGAATTGCATTATCCAATGATCTAGTTTTTAATAAATCTTATTATTAAAAACTGGATCATTGGATAATGCAATTCAAGACTTTTTACTGGCTTAGCCATTAGGGTATATGAGCCAATATACCATAATCTACAAATATGGTAAGCGTACGCGTCAGCTT